GCTCCATGCCCTTGAGGAGCGAGCAGCTGTTGCCTGCGGAGAACCACGCCTCGATGGAGCGATCGTTGAGGTAGTAGTATGCGCACAGGAGCGCCTGGATCTGCGCTGCCTCCTCGAACCTGCCCTGGGAGCAGGCCTGCTCGCCGAGGTGCTTGGCCTTTTTGGCGTGGAAGGAGGCGGCTGCCTGCAGACTGGCGAGCTTCTCGCCCGTGGCGGCGCCGAGGAAGATGTTTTGGCCCGAGGTGTCGCTGTGCACCTCGGAGTCGTGGAGGCGCGGATAGGCCATGGCAAAGATGCCGTGGAGGAGGCCGAAGCTGGGAAAGCGAGGATGCTGGGGGCCGTGCGAGAGGTTCTCCATGAAGCGCGACGGATGGAGGAAGAGCGACTGTGCGGTGGTCCTCTCAAAGTAGGTGGAGACAAGCTGGTTGACGAGGTTGGGCGGCGGGAAGTCGGCGGGCCAGCTGGTGACCATGAGCTCGAGCAGCGGGTTGGCGAGGTCGTCTTCGTCCATCTCGTCCTGCACGGCGGTGACCTTGGCGTGTTTGTGGGCGGCGCTGCGCGGATCCGTGCGTGCGTCGGCGGCATGGGCATGCGGGTAGGCGGCTGCGGCGGTGCCAGGGAGCGGAGCGGTGGGTGCGCTCAGGGCGGGATCCAGCACATCGAAGCTGGCGCCGTCGGCTCCACCGAGACCGCCGTTGGCAGCCACCGCCGCCACAGCTTGCTGATAGTCGAAAGAAGAAGTCAAAGGCAGACCTGAACCGCTCGACGGCCCTTCGCCCGAGGGCATGCTGGTGGCGAGCATGTGTGCGATGGCGAGCTCGTCCTTGGAAGGATGGCGGCCGGATGGGTGATTGCCCTGCTGCTGGGGATCGAGGGGCTGTTGAGCGCCGTTAAAGACGCCGGTGACCTGTGCAAGGCGCTGCTTGAGGTGGTGGATCTCCTGTTGCATCTGGAGCACGTGTTCGTCGGAGGCGTCGTCGGCGCGTTTGCGCTTCTTGGCGGCGGCCGGCATTGGCGATGCGTCCATGGGTGGGGCAGCGCCGGAGGGCTGCGGGGTATCTGGCGCGACGGAGCTGTCTGGATCCTGGCCCGAGAGCGAGGGGCGTGCGGAGCGGCTGGAGGTGCGTTGGGTGATGGGGAGGTAGACGCAGGGAGGCATGGTTTCGGGGAGGCTTTCGAGCTCTGCGCGGACAGCGGGGTCCTGTGCCTTCTTCTTGTTCTTGGCCTTGTTCTGAGCCATGCGGAATTTGATCTGCCAGCCTTTGGCGCACTGACCGCAGACGGGCTTCTGGCCGTCACACTTGAGCTTGCGAGCGCGACAGCTCTGGCACGCCTTGTTGCGGCCGAGATGGGTGCCAAAGGGCGAGGAAGGATTGCCGGGTGAAGCGGGTTCCGAGCCCGATACGGCGGCAGCTGCAGCTGCAGCGGCAGCGGCGGCTGCGGCGGCGGCACTTGCGGGGGTGGTCATGTAGCTGTTGGAGCCGGTGGAGGAGGAGTTGTGGTCCGGAGTCATCTGGATCTTGCCAGCGCTTGCGGCAGCGGCGACGGCCTCTAGTGCGGCTTGAGCCTCTGCATGCGAGGAGCGGACGGGCGTGCTGAAGCTCATGGACGACGAGGAGTAGGAGGGTGGGGGCTGATAGTGCGAAGAGTGGTCGTGGTCGTGGTGTTCGTGCCCGTGCTCGTGCCCATGCTCATGCTCGTGTTCGTGGTCGTGCTCGTGCTTGGCAGGAGGGTGAGAATGGCTGGGTTCGTCGTAAGCAGACGGCGGGGCGTCGTGGTGTTCGTGGCTGCCGTCCATGGTGATGGAGCGATGAAGTTGGAGGCGGACGACGCGTGAGAAACGCGATCGAGCCACGGATGGAAAGCGAGTGTGGCAGGCTTTGGTGGGCCAATGGGGGCGCTGTGCGCGGTGAGTGTGGTGAGGGGAGCTGCGGATGAGCTCTTACTAGCAAGTGTGGATGCAAGGAGCGACTACAGGGATGAGGCTGAGGAAAGAGGCGCCGCCGAGAGGATGGCAAGGATGTGGATGGGAAGAAGGAAAGGCACCCCCGCCGACACCTCGCTCGACGCGGGAGTCGGGTCAAGGGCAACGAACGTGAGGCGGCGCTCCATTCACATTATCGAGCCGTCGACTCTGGCTGAATGCCCCGCTGGTCACTCGGCGCGCTACACCGACCCAGTGCCCGCCTGCTGCTGAGGAGGCGGTGTCCGATTCCCACGATCCGAGAAAAAATTGCGTCCCACGCTGATCCCACGCTCAGCCGCAACCGAGGTCCGCAGAATTCGAGACACGGCGGGGCACAAAAGAAGCAATTTTTGTTAGTATAACGGCGTAACATTGATAGCTAAAATCCATCCTCCGCTCAGCTTCACACACTCACGCAGCGGAGTGCGCCTCGGCAGCGAAAGGGCCAAAGTGGCATGACGGGCTGCTGCAGCTCGAAATCAGCCGCGCCGCTCTTGGCTCCGGCCCATCGAGTCTTGGCACCACACACCCTCTCTATCCCTCTCCCTCTCCCTCCACCAGCTACAAGCGCACACCATATCGGCAACCCTATCGACTTGAGGACGCGCTCACCCTCAGCCATCTTCGAACCATGTCTGCCTCCTAGCGCTCACCATACCATTCGTCCGACACACCGCCTGCTGCCACTTGCACAACCCATTCGCCTCCCTGCGCGGGCCAGCAGGAAGCCGCTTGCTGCTCAGTACGCCCAGCCATGAGACGTCCTGCAACCGCTTCAGGCCTCCTGCGCCTCGTAGCTGGCGTCTTTCTCCTCGTCATGCTGCTCCACGTCTCTGCGGTCTCGGCCAGTCGTCCTTCGCTCGACAGCCGCCAAGACGACACAGCATGGCTACCTCGCGGCGCCCCTCAGCAGCGTCTCTACGCGCGGCAAGCTTCCACGCCCACCACAACCTCAGCCACCGCAACCTACTCCGAGCTACCAACAGCAGCCATCACCATCGACGGTCAACCACCGCCCACAAGCTCGGGCGACCCGCTGCTCGCCCTCATGCCCGACTTCGCATTCAGCATGCCCGCCCAGATCGTCGTCGACGGCATCAACATCGCGCTCATCTCCGTACTCCTCATCCACCTCCTCTTCACCGTCCAATACCACTTCCCCCTCAGCCGCAAAAACTTCTACCTCCAGATCTCCAGCTCCGTCATGCTCCTCCTCAGCCTCAGCGTCACCCTTCACATCGTCTTGAGCAACCTCGAAGACGAGTCAAAGCGCTACCCCTTCATGTTCCCCTACATCGGCATCCAACTTCCGCCCGGCGACGACTCGTGGACAAAGCTGCAGGAGGTCTTCTTCCTCCTCATGCGCGCCATCACCACCGCACTCATCCACATCACCCACATCCAGTTCCTCACCCTCCTCTTCCCCTCCGCTCTCGAGGCTCGCCTCATCCTCTGGATGCTCGGCCCCTTGGCCATCATCAACTCTGGCATGGAGTTCACCGGCCTCGCAGACGACTCGGACGCAAAGACAAACGACCTCGGCGACGCCATCCGCAACATCTGCAACTCCACCCTCACCCTCCTCTACACCACCGCCCTCCTCATATGGGGTCTCCTCGTCAACCGCAGGCGTGCATGGCGCGCAGGAGGCGGCACCGCCGCTTTCGGCGGCGGCTCCGTTGGTCTCGCACTCATCAACACCGCCATCAGCTTCACCGAGATCAAGTACGACCGTCTCTGGTGGCTCCCCAACGTCTGCTGGACGCTCACCATCTGGCAGAGCTGGCTCGGCTTCTGGTGGTGGGTCAGCAGCGGCATGGGCATCGGCGAGGTCGAAGATCGCCAGGAGCGCCTCGAGCGCAAGCGCAAGCGCGAGGAGCGTCGGCGTAGAAAGCTCGAAAAGCAGAAGCAGAAGCTCGCTCTCCAAGACACCGCCGCCGACGTCGCAAATGCAGAGGCACATAGCTCCCAGTACGACTCCAGCTCCATCCCCGGTCTCAACGGCTTCCGTCGCATCAAGGATCGCCTCGTCGGCGACCCAACCGCGTCCAGCACCCTCACCCGCCGCCTTCGTCGTCAGCCCACATCGGGTCAGCCGGGCGATGCGGGCGATACCCAGCTCGGTGCCGATCACGCCGACTCCGCCGATAACATCGAGCTCAGCCAGATCCGTGTGGCGTCCACGGACGCAAGGAGAGACTCGCAAGACCAAGACTCTGCCGACGGCCCAGCTCTCACCGATGTTGCCGTGCACGACGCCCGCGATGGCGATGAAGACGACGACGACGACGACGCCGTCGAAGAGCACCAAGAGGATGCCAATGCCGCTATGGACGACGGAAGAACCACGGCTGGCACCGGATCCGGATCGAGCGACACCAATCCGACCGCCTCCTCGGCGCCCGGCTGGGTCTCGACTGCCGCGCAGCGTTTCATGGACCACCAGCCCAACTTCATCAAGGCGCGCTTCCGTCGACTTCGCCTCGCGCACATGGCTGCCGCTCGACGAGCCGCACACGAGCAGTCGGCTCTGCGCGAGCAGGTTCTTAACTCTTCGCGAGTCACGGGTCCCGGCTTGCGCCACATGATGTTCGATCGTCCCGCCTCGTCGCGTACGGGTATGGACAGCAATGTCGACATGGGCGGCCTGCCCGAGCTCTCGGCCGGAGTCGGTCGCTCGGCTTCGCTGGGAACCAGGCCCACTCAGGACGGCAAGACGCTGTCGGCCACCTCGTCACTCCGCGCTTCCAAGGGCGCCAGGAGCCTCGGAGCCGATGCCGCTTCCATCCAGCAGAGGCGGGGCTCGGCCCAGGCGCGCAATTCCATTTCGCTTCCAGCTCACCGCAACGCCGCGATGATCAATGAGGATGACGACGACGATGACGATTCCATGTCGACGCGCGGCCAGGGCAGCTCTGCCGAGAGCCAGACGTCGCTCCATCGAGCCCTGCGTCGCATCGATGCCAGGCCGGTCTCGCCTGGCACTTCCTCTAGGCGCGCATCGGGGCCCCCCGCCGTCTCGACTGCCAGGGCCTCTTCGACTCACACAGCCGCACCCAGAGCCGGCTCGCAAGAACGTCCACGTGCCTCCGAGGGCACGCGTGCGGCGAGTACGACCCGACCTGCAGCGAGAGGCCAGAGAGACGACGAGTGGGAAGACGTCGACGATCCGGCTTCCGTCCCCGCTCGTCCTGCCAATACGCATTCATCACACCGCTCCACCTCTCGCAGCAGGAGAAACGATGGCAGCGACGACGAAGATGGGGAAGACTCGAGCTGGTTCTGGCGAGGAGGATTGCGCCAGATGCGTCTGCGCGATCGCACCACCTACGACTAGGCTTTTTCTTTTGTCTCCCTTCCGGGTCCCTTTGTACTTTTAAATAACGCAGCTTGTACTTCAATTTCATGGTTCATCTCCAGCGCCCATTCGTATGCATCCTGCAGCTCCACTGATGTACATGGCTGTAGAGGGCCGCGACATGCCGTGACCAAGTCATGGCGGGGAGTGAGAGACGCGGCGATGTCGTGTGCACATGTGCGCTTTCAGAACAACAAGCGCTGCCCAAGCGCCACGTCTGCGAGTCGCCTCCACCTTGCTGGCTCGAAAATCTCGCCCAGTCCTTGGCTGAGCGTGCACGGAGCAGTGTTGGAAATTCTTATGCGCAACCTGAGCCCGCTGAGCTCTTTGACCTCACACCACCACATGGCCTCGATGAAGCGGCCGCGATCGCCGTCTCCCACCTCGTCATCCAGGCAAGGCAACATCATCCCACAATCCCACGCTTCCGACATGGCGTGCCCACACCTCAGCGCCGCCTTCACGGCCCTCGCTCCACCACGACCCTCCCAACACGTGCACAAGGAGGAGTGCACGCTCTGCTTCGACGACCAGGACGGACCGAATGGAGTCGACGTCTGTCTGCTCTGCTTCAACGGAGCATGCACGGGCAACGGCGACCGCGAACACTCGAGGCTGCACTTTGAAAAGACGCAGCATCCGCTCGTGGTCAACATTCGCCGCGTTCGTAAGCCGGCGCCCGTGCGTGCAGATGGGGATCAGCCGTCGGTGCCCAAGAAACTCGCAATTGCGGCCGAATCGGATGCGGACAAGTACGACCATGTGACGGTGCCGCGGTGCTTGGCGTGCGACCCTGCGGGTCCGGGCAAGGAGCTTCCGATGACGGATAAGCTGGACGAGGTTATCCGCGGAATCATGACCGCCATGTCCTCCGCACAGCAGTCCGAGGTCAAGGCATGGGAGGAAGAGATTGTGGCGTGCCAGCATACGCGCGAGCTGGTGCAGCCGGGCGAGCGCGTCAAGCTCGAGCCTTCGGGCCTCGCCTCGTGTGGCAAGTGCGAGCTGACGTCCAACTTGTGGCTCTGTCTGACGTGCGGCCATCTCGGCTGCGGACGTGCCCAGTTCGGAGGCGTGGGCGGCAATAGCCACGGCCTGTCGCACTTTGAGGAGAGCGGCCATCCGGTCTCGGTCAAGCAGGGCACCATCACGGCCGAAGGCAGCGCCGACATCTACTGCTACGCGTGCAACGACGCGCGCCTCGACCCGAACCTCGCACGCCACCTCGCGCACTTTGGCATCGACGTCATGGACCTCTCCAAGACCGAGAAGAGCATGACGGAGCTTCAGATCGAGCAGAACCTCCGGTTCGATTTCAACATGACCGGCGAGGACGGCAAGATGCTCGAGCCCATCTTTGGGGCGGGACTGACGGGCATCCGCAACCTCGGCAACAGCTGCTACATGGCATCGGTGCTCCAGAGCCTGTTTGCGCTGCCGGCATTTCAGAAGCGGTACGGCGAGGCGTACCGCCCGCACACGCTGACGTGCACCCAGCAGCCCGCGAGCTGCTTCGAGTGCCAGATCACCAAGATCGCAGACGGACTGCTGTCCGGTCGCTACTCTCGTCCGCGCGAGGCGGAGCAGGAGTCGAGTTTGGGATGGACGGCCGCCGAGGGGGAGCAGCAGCAAGCGCTCTTCCAGCAGGGAGTGCGCCCGAGCATGTTCAAGGCGCTCGTGGGTAAGGGGCACGAGGAGTTTTCGACCATGAGGCAGCAGGATGCCGACGAGTTCTTCAAGTATCTCGTGGGCGTCGTGCAGAAAGAGAACCGCAAGCTGGCTGGTGCTGCTGCGCCGACCGAGGATCCGACCGACGTGTTTGGATTCGGGCTCGAGCAGAGGCTGCAGTGCAACGAGTGCCACAAGGTGCGCTACAGCGTCGAGCGTCAAGACGCCGGCCTCAGCTTGCCGGTTCCCATCCGTCCCAAGCCGGTGCAGGCGGAAGGCTCGGGAAAGCAGCCGGCCGAGGGCGTGCATGCCGCGCCCGCCTCGAGCGCTGCGACGGTCGAGTACGAGCCGGTGAGCTTGACCGAGTGTCTCGACATCTTCACTGCGCCCGAGGAGCTCGAGTACAACTGCCCGTCGTGCGCCAAGAAGGTGACCGCCACAAAGCGCACGCTGTTCACTACGTTCCCGCAGGTGCTGGCGCTGCAGGTGCGCCGGTTCCAGCTGCTCAACTGGGTGCCTCAGAAGGTGCCCGTGCCGATTGTTGTGCCGATCGACGCACCGCTGGATCTCGACCGCTACCTCGGACGCGGCCAGCAGCCGGACGAAGTAGAGCTGCCTGAAAGCGAAGCGGCTCCCGCATCGGCAGGTGCCAGCGAGCTAGAGTGGGACGCGGGTGTCATGTCGCAGCTCACCAGCATGGGCTTCCCCGAGATCCGGTGCAAGAAGGCGCTGCTCGCGACAGGCATGGGCGATGCCGAGGGTGCGATGAACTGGCTGTTTGCGCACATGGAGGATGCGGATATCGACGACCCCATCGACTTTGGCGCTGCCCCGAGTGGTGCCGCTGCGTCAGCGGGTGGGCCGGATACGTCGATGCTCGAGGAGATGGGCTTTACGCGCAACCAGGCACGCAAGGCGCTGCGCATCAACAACGGCAATGCCGAGATCGCCGTTGCGTGGCTGTTTGAGAATCCGGACGATGCCGGTGAAGATGCAGCGCCCGGAGAGACGGCAGGCGAGACGTCGGGCGAGTCGAGCGTGGTGCCTGGATCCGCGGAGCTGCCGGCAAAGTATGCGATCAAGAGCTTCATCAGCCACAAGGGCCCGAGTGTGCATAGCGGCCACTACGTCGCACATGTGCGCCACGACCAGGACTGGACGTTCTTCAACGACGAAAAGGTGGTGCGCGCTCCGCTGTCGTCGGCGGCCAAAGAGGGCGACCAAGACGTGGGCGTCAAGGGGCTCAGCCAGCAGGCGTACGTCTACTTTTTCGAGCGCATCTAACCGCCCCCACCACACACAAAATGCATTCTCCCGTTCAGCATTGACATTGATAGGCAGAGTGCGGGCGATTCTAGCCGAGCACTTTGCGCAGGGCATCGGTTCGGTCGGGAATGGAGATCGAGGTGAGAGGGCAGCGGGCGTGGGTCTGGACGTAGTTGAACGCGCACGTGTAGCAGAAGACGTAGCCCGAGGGGAGGACGGCCGGGTTGTTGATGGGCATAGCCCCGCAGAGTGGGCACGAGTTGTGGATGAGTTTCCTCCCGCCTTTCGTCAGTGTAGGCTTTGCGTCGGCTCCGTTGTCGAGCTCGTCGAGGAGTTTGCCTGATAGCGTAAAGATGTGTGGCAACTTGTACTCTACCTCTTGCCCTGCCTCTGCCAGCAACCCCTTGGGATCGGGAAGCAGAGGTGCAGGGGGATCGAGTGACTGTGCAGAGCCTTGTTCATTGACCGAAGGTGTGTTGCGACGTCGACGTGGGTTGTCGGCACCGTACCACCACTCGAGGAACTTGAAGAAGAAGATGCTTGCGGGCAGGCCGTATTTGAGCGCCTCGAAGCCGACCCCGGGAGCGAGACGCAGGAGCATGGCAAAGAAGCGGGCTGGTTGACGAATGAGGCTGGGGAACTTTCGGGGCACGAGGGGTTTGCGCGGACCATCGTTGGGACCGACGCGGCGGACGTCGATGCGCATCAGCGAGAACCACGGACGCCAGTAGGGAGTCTTGTCGAACAAATACCGCACGTTGTACGTTAGCAACCACAACTGCCACGCCGTCTTTGCATACGGATAGGTCGTCTTGAACGTCTCCATTACCGCAGCCTTGATCCTCTCTCGAAGCGAAGCAGGTGCATCGTTAAAGCGGGCTACGTTTGGTTGATCGTCAAACAACGCGGCGGTATTGGTAAGTCCACCGCCATTCCTCTCCCAAACATCCTCCAGCTTGGCACCGATGTAGGGAAGACCGACGAGGAAGAGCAAGCTAAGACGAATCTCGGACTTGCGCAACCTCTCTGCGTTCGCCACCGTTACCGATGTGGCCCCCACCCCGGCGCTGCCTCGACTGAGACCGGGGCGTCTTCGTCTGCGTAGGCCGTAGAAGTTTTCGGCAAACGAACTGCCCCACACGCGCAGATAGTGCAGCTCGATCCCTCCCATCAGCAGCGCATACAGCTCGTCGAACGAGTTGACCACGCGCAGCAGGTAGCGCGGACTGCGCTGCGCCAGTACGGCAAGCACATACCGAACCGCAGGCTTTATCAGGTCCTGCAGTTGCGCCTGTGCCGCCAGCTCGAAAAACGACGGATGAAACGGATCCGCCGACGAAGGCTGCGACGACGTCGGATCAATCGATGTCAACACATCCATCTTGCCCCCGTCCCAAGTCCACTCCAAAGTGCGCTTTCGTTCCGGGTAGGCGAGCTCAGTCGCAAAGAGCGTCGATAATATGGACCAAGTGGATCAGGTGGACGAAGAGATGGTCTGTGAAAGTAGAGCTGCTCCACTTTCCGCTCCCCCACACTTGACCGGTCCATCAAAGCCGGCATCCGCATTTTTTCTAGGCCTACCCCCCACATCTTAACACACAACCCTCCAAAAAATCCAACAAGCACGCAAGATCGCACATTGCAATACGGACGGTGACTAGTACATGATGTGAACGGCTGCCCAAGGATGCTGGTGACTCTGGAAACGGGGCTCAGTGGTGCTCGCCCATGCTGCGGCGGAACGGGTTGTTGGGATTGACGATGCGGCTGCGCGGCACACCGAACCCAGACGACGACGGGCTACCGGGCGCGCTCGAGTCGGCATCGAACGCCGCGGTGGTCGTAGAGTACGCGGTGGGCACGTGCTTGCCAGCCCCACCGGCCTCGGGCGGCGGCGACGGATAGCCGTGCTGCGAGCTGATGTTCGGGTCATGCTGCACATCCGCCACGGGCTGCGGCACGGGCACAGGAGCCGGTGCGGGCATCGACGTGCGCGGCCGCGCGCCTCCAGCCGGCGTCGAAGCTTCGCCCGGCGACCCGCTCGATGCGGGAGGCGAGGGGCCGCCGTCGATGAGCTCACGCAGCTCGTTGATCGTCGTCTCCGACAGACCCAACGATGCGGGGTCAACCGTGCTCATTGGCAGTCGGGGCGCGCCGGACGACGCAGCTGCCCGCGAACCAGCCGCACTGCTACCAGCAGCCTCGGACTCGTCCATCACCGACGTAGCTCGTCCGCCCGACGTCCTGTCTGCCGCGTCTGTCTGCAAGCGTGATGCCGTGCTTCCGACTGT